CGGCCCAGTGATTGCGCCGATATTCCGGGTGCGATCCGGCCTAGTGATTGCACCGATATTCTGGGTGTGAAGTTCAAATCCTCCGAGCGTCTTCCTCATGCGGGTGTCTGTGTTCTATATCAGGAGTGTCACAGAACTCAATGACGGGAATTTATCCAAACTATGGAGTAGTCAGAATCTGGAACAGTTGCCGAAAATAGAAGCTGATTGGTTACTATGGGCACGAGATTCTGTCTGCTCCAGTTTGGAGACAACTTTTTCAATAATCGATTATGTCGATTAGTTGTTGCAGCCCTAATAAATTCCCCTTAGTAGCTGCTGAAAACATTAAATCGGACAGCCGCAAGTCACCCAGATTATTTCCCTTTTGTTCATGTGAGAAGATTTGCGCCACGTCCTCCTGATTTTAGATTGCTACGCAGTTTCCTTTTCAATGGCCGCGGCTCCTATTACCAGAATGGAAATGGCGGATCTCTCTGCGTCTTCCAAATCATTCATCGTTGGGTGTTGTGTGGTGTCACCACCTGGGCACGTGATGACTGCTAGAATGAAAGACTGTTGATCCGCGAATGATCGGTCCCTATATACTAATATATTAAAGCGGAACCGCCAGGGAGCGGTCGCCAAGACCTGCTAGGGAGCGGTCGCCAAGCCCTGCAAGGGAGCAACCGCCAAGCCCTGCAAGGGAGCAACCGCCAAGCCCTGCAAGGGAGCAACCGCCAAGCCCTGCAAGGGAGCAACCGCCAAGCCCTGCAAGGGAGCACCCCTTAACTCCTGCAAGAGAGCATCCGCCAAGCCCTGCGAGGGAGCATGCGCCCAGCCCTGCAAGGGAGCGGTCGCCCAGCCCTGCAAGGGAGCGCCCAATAACATCAGATGCATTCACAAACATAACGTCACTTCCATGGATCTTGAAATCGAATGTTAAAAGTAAAAACATTCCGGGAGACGGTCAGAGAGCGCAGACATACGGTCAGAGAGCGCAACATAAGAGTTGTTAGAGACATACTTCATAAGGCCCTCAGAGGCACATTACATGGGACTGCTAGAGACCACAGCTACTACAAGCCATTCAAACTCAATGCTTCCACATGTGTGCCCCATACAACCTCCCTCACACATTACTTGATATTTCTCCCAGCAAGACACATTATAAAATAAACTTCTGACTTGAATACTGTCTGCAGGGGCCCTGAGGACCAAAGGGCCGCAATTGGGGCACCAGGGGTGTATAGGGTCCCATAGCCCAGGGCCCTCACCCCCAGTCACGTGACTTGCATAGGCAGACCTACAGGACATTTAGCGGAATGTCACAGTACAGGGAAATTAGCTGCACTCACCAAGGCCAGGGAAGCTCCGTGCTCCCTCCACTTCTTCACCCGGACACCCCTCAGCCAAAACCTGTCCGTTCTTCCCCGCACTCCCAGAACAGCTCAACACGGGACCAACAACAATGCCGGCAGCCAATCAGCTCCCTTCTCCAAGCGACTGCCAACGCCGTCAGCCAATAGAGAGGAGACATGGGCGGGCTTTCCCCAGATGGAGGACACGAACGGCTAATCCAGATCGGACGTCATTGACGCTCCGGCCCGATGGCGGCCATCTTTGATTCTGGAAAACAAAATCCATCACCACGTAGCAATGGGCAGCAAAACAAGGGGCAATTCTGGCAGCTGACACGTTGTTTTTCAACATTAAAATATGTGAAAACGAATTGCTGTGAAAGTCAAACGCAGGAACATGAAAGGAAATTATAGGAGATAAAAAAAACAGGGCCTATCTGTATTGCACTCAGCAGTCTTGAATCTGTCCATGAAGCCCTTTCAAATAAGTTCTTTTAAAGCTACGAGGTTCCATGCACAGCCAATTTTAATTTGTATAGAGTTGTCACTGCCACTTTTAGTGCAAAAAAAAAAGGTCTCAAACTCTTCTTTTTTTTTCCACAAAGTATTTTAATTATAACCCCGCAAAGTATGTTACCAATTAATTTTTTAATTAACATTGGCTACAAGTGGCATTTTTACTGGTCGTGTTGGTATAATAGGAGCCAGGCAGCAACCCAAGAGATATTGCATATGTGTGAGGGATAACACAGAGTTACTGGGTAGTATGGAATTGCTTAAAGTGAAGATAAATGATATAGGAGTAACAGTAACGACCAATGAACTGATAGAGATGCTGCTGGGCTGACGCTGCAAACTAAAACACTGCAGGGGCAAGTTATGGTGAGCGTCGCGATAGCATAAAACAGAAGTGCAAGTCCTTGCCATGCTATCACTCACTATAACTGAACACTTGCAGTGTGAACGAACCCTTCAAGTGAAGTTTATGGTGCAAGTAGATGTAAATTTGTGTGAATGTCATTTTAAAGCCACGACCAACCTTTTTAAATCTGCAGCTTTCATTAAATTGGTTGATCCCGCCATGATGATCCTTCTTCAGGCACTTCCTGTGATGGGGGGGGGACAACTGTCTCCCCACTGTGCTCTTGCATTGTCACACTGTCACAGGCACCCCTGCCAGTGTCTACGGGCGGCCGTGCCAACACGCATTAGCAGGCATCGTCCAACGTTGTCACCAAGTGCAGCCAACACTGCAGTGGATGTAGACAGGAAGCGGCTGCAGTAGATCAGCAGCACCGAGGTGGAATATAGTATGACTAAGGACTCATTGCACATGGGGCCTGGGGCCGTAGAACATAAATGGCGGATTTATTTCTGCATCGGTATACACAGCAATGGACATACAACCCTGGATGCGGACAGTCTGCGTCTAGGGGCGTACGGCTTTACACATGTGCGGGTGCATGCACATAGCTGCATAAATGGGCGTACAGCCACTTATGCCCATTCACTACTATAGGTGGCCGTACGCAGCATCAGGGGCGAAAATGCGCCCTGCAGTGTACACTATACGGCCTTGTACGCCAGTGCGCATGAGGCCTAAGAGGTTGAAACAGTGGACCTTTAAATGAGAGGTCTTCATGTATTGAAATTCAAAAAAATTGCTCAATTTTATAAGGCATTTAATGCATGATATACCATAGTCCCACAACGCCCTAAACAAAGATGGCCGCCTAGGATGCAGAAGGCAATGACGTCTCCCCCCTCCTCTGTGTGTGTTGTCCTCACGTGACTCCTGCAGGTGCTGCTGGCTATTTGAGGCTGGGCAGAGCTCAGAGCTGGATGTGTATGGACAGTTCCCTGCTGCCAGGGAGCCGGAGGAAGCTGCAAGCAAGCTAAGTGGACTACGTTCCCCCCGTAGAAAGCATGCCGGATGCATCGCCGTTGCCTGAGGATTGTTAGTGATGATCGCTGGCAGGCAGTTGGCAAACTTGTCCGTGTTTGCAATGGGAATCTTCTTGCACAATTTATTTGCATTACCCCGAGAGTATTTTCCATTGGACGGCTAGCCGGTGTTGTGCTGATATACTGCATGCATGGATTATATTTTATTGCACCTCATGGCTCCTTTCGGAAACAGTTGGAGGATCTCATGCAGCTTGACGCAAGAAAAAGAGTGCTTTCGGGGCAAGATCCTCTGCATGTGTCATGATCTGGAGGAAGCTATGAAAATGGTCCCCTGTCATCTCATCTGAGGGGCCTCCTTGGCACTTTTTTGGGGGGTTCCTTGTGCTCTTCAGTGGAGGAGAGATGCCTGCAGAAGAGTGCAGGGCATTACTAGATGCTCTCAATAAGGTGACGGCATGCTACAGGCATCTGGTTCTCACCATAGGCGGGACTTCCGACTCCCAGAACCTCCGCGAGGAGCTGAAGAAGACCAGGCGGAAAGCCCAAGAGTTGGCGGTGGCTAACAGAAACAAACTGACCGGCACGCTCAAGGACGCCAGCCTGGTCAAGGAGGACAAAGCCGAGTTCGAGAGGCTATGGGTCATCTTCTCCACCTGCATGGACATCCTCGAGACCGACATGAGGAGGGCTCTGGAGCTCGGCCAGGAGTTCCCGCTGAACATCCCCAAAAAGCACCTCATACAGACTGGCATGAGCGGCGGCACGACCGGGGTGGCCGCCAGGGCCATGAGCGTCCAGAACATGAAGTACGAAGCCGAGCACAACATAGACATCATGGACCTCAAGGACCTGGAGAACGAGATCAACCAAGTCGGCGAGATGATGTACGAGATGGAGATGAAAGTCAGCGTGCCGCAGTGGACCGTGGAGGCCAAGCAGAACCCCGGCGCCGAGCTCAAGCTGGCCGCCGCCACCGGGTCTACCTCCCCGGGTACGGTCTCGACGGAGGATCGCAAGGCCATCTGCGACCTGAGCAAGCTCTTGGCCGCTATGATCTTCAGTGCCGTACTCCTCGTCGCTGTCATACTGGCCGTTTGCGTGGTCAAACTTTCATGAACTTTGTTCCCGGTGACCCCCCAAAGTACTTTTTATTTCTTTATTTTGTACGTTCTGCCAAACATTTCGGCGCTTCTTTTGGGAATGCTTCTCTCACGGGTCTCTCACCCAACAAACGATGGACCAGTTGGGTAAAATTTTAATGATTATCTTACTATATATCACTCGAAAACCACTCCTGCTCCAACACTAACCGTAAAAACATCCCAAGGCCTCCATTTATTACGGTCATCTGCACCAGGTACGTTTTGACATACTTACGGACCGGAA